TTTGAGAAATAGAAAAAGAGGGGCCTCCCTGGTGGCGCAGTGGTTGAGAGTCCACCTGCTGATGCAGAGCACATGGGTTCGTGCCCCGGTCCGGGAAGATTCCACATGCCGCGGAGCAGCTGGACCCGTGAGCCATGGCCGCTGAGCCTGAGCGTCCGGAGCCTGTGCTCCACAACGGGAGAGGCCACAACAGTGAGAGGCCCGCGTACAGCAAAAATAAATAAATAAATAAATAAATAAATAGAAAAAGGAAAAAAAATCGGTTTTCTTCAGGGTTAAATACTGTATAAAGTCACTGTAATATGGTAGAAATGGTAGCTTTGGAGTTGGCCATGCTGGGGATGAATCGGATGTCTGTGACTCTTTAGTTGTGAGAGTCTAGATACTGGAATCAATCTCATGGAACTTTAGTTTCCTTATTGATAATGCAGGGATAATAATAATACTTTCATCAGAGCCTTGTGAGAATTCAATGGTAGAACCTCGGGAAACACCTGGCAGAGTGCCTATCGTAAATTAGGCACAAAAACAAACAGGTGAAATTCTAGACCTCAGATGAAAGTAGGTACCAGAAGATTGCAACTGGCTCATGTTTCCCAGTGTTAAAAAGAGGAGTCTTAACTGCAGACGTAAAAGGGTCTCCTCATGGGCCTACATAGAGTCCACAGAGACCAACTGGCAGGAATCAATAAAGACCATGTCCATCATGTAAAGACATCCATTAGCTCCCAGACCACCCCTGCAGGACTCAGGAATTGACCATTGTTTCTAAACACTGGGATCATCTTCTGAAGGGCACGATCTCATTGTGTGATGTTTTCTGAACATGTTAAAAGCAGAAACTAACACACCATTGTAAAGCAATTATACTCCAATAAAGATGTTTAAAAAAAAAAAGTTTTTTCAGTGCAAAAATTTGAAATACACCACAATTTTAAAAACCCTAAAAAAAAAAAAAAGAATAATCTTGGTTGACGTTCTTTATAAAAAAAAAAAAGTTATTCCAAACTCCTGAACAATAATCCTAGTAAAATTTGGACTGAATTTTTGAAAGTGTAAACTGAGAAAAAAAATGTTTATCTAAAAGCTGTCACCACAGAAGCTGAACCTGTCGCAGACCTGCCAATGGAGTAGGGCAGAAACCAGGGTGCTTGTTTTTGGTATGGAACATAAATAATCTTGTCCCCAGAGGTTCCAAGAGTTCATTTGGAGTAGGTCTGTCACGAGTGGGAAACAACAAACAGATTCTAAAGGCGAGCGAGCAGCTCTGGGAAGTCATCAACAGGGCTTTGTAAAGAACAAATTGTAAACAAAGGTAGTGCATCCATTAGAGGTTGTAAAGCCTGCAGAGACATTGGAAGCAACAGCACTTGTTTTTCTTCCCCACATGTGAATCTTGGTGGTACTAGGACTTTAAATCAGGCTTTCATAAGATCTATAAACAACAAACTGGGAAAGAAATACTTGTGGATCTGTAGCTAATTAGAATTTTTGTACTGATAGGTTGCTACAAATAGTTCAACGGTACAATGAAATGCATTAGTGTAACCTTCCATATCTTTTTTTTTTAAATTTTTTTACTGTAGTTGATTTACAATGTTGTGTTAGTTTCTGGTGTACAGCAAATTGATTCAGTTTTATATATGTGTATTTTCATATTCTTTTCCATTATGGTTTATTACAGGATATTGTATATAGTTCCCTGTGTTATACAGTAAGCCCTTGTTGGTTATCTATTTTATATAGAGTCTGTTATCTTTCTCACCAAAGCTCTTCACAGAAGAGTTTGATTTCATCCTATTTTACAGTGCAAAGCTGCAACTGCTGTCCAGGTGGGGGAAGAATTGCTGAAGGGACTCAGGCACCTTCAGACATATTTTTAGGAGTAAGTTCCTGAAACACTTTCTGAGTGTCTTCTAGGTACCAGAGACATACTGTAGACCTTGGAATACAAAGATGAATAAGTCATGGTTTCTGCCCTTAAATAGCTCATGGTCTAGTGGGGTAAAAGGTGAGACAGGCACAGAAACACATGCCATTCCTTATAAAGTGGTAAATGAAAACAGAGACATGGACATTTAGAGGAATAGTTAGGCCAATTTGGAGATTCCAGGGAGGCTTTCTGAAGGATAAGCTGCTTGAACGGATTCACTGGGATATGAGGAGGAGTTAGCTGGGTGAGGCTGTGACAGGGCCCCTGCCGGGAGCTGGCATTCTGAGCAGAGAAATAGCCTGTGTGACGTGGTGGAGCTACACTGTGTAGAGTTGCATAGTGAGAGGTTAGAGCCCAGGGTGGGAATGTGCTAGAAAAGGGAATGGAGAAGTAGGTAGTGCCACGTCATAAAAACTACATGTTTAAATATCTTGACTTTTGCTCTCTTAAGACATGGGGAATATTGAAGAGTTTTTGAGAAAGACGTGTCGTGGTCAAATGTCCATTTTATATCCATCATTGTGATACCAACCTAGAAACTTTAAGAAGTAATAAAGGGAGATCTATTAAGAAGGTATTGAAAATGTTTATGCCAAAGATGCTAAGAATCTAAGCAAGGAGTGAAATAGAAAGAGTGGAGGGGAAAATAGGCTCAGTAGGGTGGGAGGTATGATTGGCCAAGATTAGACACTGAATGAACACAGCCATTCAGTAAGACAGTGTTTTAGAGGGAAGAACGTGATTCAGCAGGCGCAAATGACAGACTCAGTTTTGACAAAGTTAAGACTGCAGTGCTTATGAGGATAGTCAAACAGTTATATCCAGCAAGCATTTGAATCACAGGAGAGGTCCAGGCTAGAGGTAAAACATTCCAAATCCGCAACAAACACACAATCGTCAAACATGAGAAAGAATTATATCACTGAAGGATTACACATTCATTCAGTAATTGATTCCTTCACAGGCATAGTACAGAGGAATTTAAGGCAGTGAAAATACTGGGATACAGTAATGATAGATTCATCTCATTATATATTTGTCCAAAACCATAGACCATAGGACAGCAAGAGTAAACCATGAAGTAAACTATGGAGTTTGGGTGATTATGATGTTCCAGTGTAGTTTCATCAGTTGTGACAAATGTACCACTCTGGAGGGGGATGTTGACAATGGGGGAGATCATGTATGTATGGGGCAGGAGATAAGAAGAATCTCTATATCTTTCTCTTAATTTTGCTCTGAACCTAAAACTGCTCCAAGTAAATATTTTTTCAAAAAGTAAAAAAAAGAATAATTCATTCACATATTCATCTATTCACCAAACATTTATGAGTACCTGCTACGCAACAGGCACTTTTAAATGCTCGGTGGTTGAAGTAATGAACAAGACAGTCTTTGCCCCCATGGAGCATGGATTATAAAACCTACATTGGGAAGAGCATTGAGTCAGGCAGTAGTATGGGTGGAGGAAGACAATATCCCAGGGAGACGAAAAGAAGAATTGGACCAGGAGAAGGAGGCTCCTAGGTCAAGGAAAGAGAGAATATTAAAGAGAAAAGAGAGGCCAACAATGTCAAATACGGCATAAATGTTCAGTAAAATAAGACTTAAGCAGTATTCATTGGATTTGGAAATATGGAAGCCACCCTGGACTGGATGAAAGCAGTTTTAATGGAGTGGTACATAAACTAGGTAGTTTAAGGGCTTAAAGAAAGTTGGAGACACTGAGTAGAAAATACGTTTAAAAGACAGTTGGATGAGGAATATGAGATAGATAGGAGGGAGGTGAGAGCGGGAAGGACCTTCAGTCCAGAAATCTTGAAACTTTTAACTTTTGCTCAGTTTCTCATTTCCAGTGGACTCTGGTCATTTTCACCTTGGTGTTCCACCAACAATGTAAACTCAACAACAAAATAAAGCTTCAGAAATCCCTATTTCTGTTATGCCCTCACTATTCCTAGGTACCCTGGCTTTCAACCTCGCCTCCTTTCCATAATTTTGATAACTAATCCTTGCAGGACCTGCCTTTTCTTCACTTTCTACTGCTACCTCTTTGCTACAGATCCTTAGTACATGATCTATTTTGTCAGCCTAATAAAAGTTCTCTCTACTCTTGTCTCTTTGCCTAACAGTCCATCTGACTCATTGCTGCCAAAATAATTTTGCAAACACATTTCTGTTCGTATTATTCCCCTGATCTAAAGGCTTGAGGGGCTGCCTAGTGCCAACCAACTTAAGTGCAAACCCCTTACGCTGGTATTCAAATTTCCTCACAATATGGTTCCAATCAAGCTTCTCTGTCTTTTATGCATTTGCCCAAAACATGTTCCCTGAGATCCAGTCAAGTTGGTCTGATCACTGTTTCCCAAGTTGGTTTTTTTTCCCCCATGTTGGCCATGAATTCTCCTCTATTTTGTCCAAATTTTATCTGTTCTTTAATCCCAGTTCAGTTGTCTCCTTCATAATTTATTTTGGTCAGAATTCCTACCCTGCCTTTATCATTTGAACCCTTGTAATATTTTATCCATGGTGATGCTCTTTGTATTATAGATACGTGCATATTATGTTTACAATCTCTACTATATTTGTAAGATCTATGAGAGGGGAGAATATACTCAATGTGTTTTTATTATCATTATCTTGCATAGCACACAGAGTAGCTGTTACCACATGTTTGATGAATGTAAGTGAACTCTCAAACGTATGAAAATATAAAATTTTAGAGCTCACAATGACCTTACTGATGATATGGTCAAACCCTTTTATTTTATAGATGAAAGAACTGAAGCCAAAAAATGTTCAGTGACCTGCCCAAGTCACATGGCCGGTCGGTGACAAAGCAGTGCTCCAAATCTTATGTCCTGACCCTCAGTCCAGGCTCCTTCCCATTTCATGACAGCATCTGTTTAGGAAGCTTGAGTTGAGCCATCGTCCTTGTCATCATGGTCCCTGACTCAGGCAGCACCATTAGTGTTCAAGACCTAGACTCCTTCCTGGTCTCAGAAGTCTGTACATCCACAACCCAAGGAAAAACTGGGAGAAGCCTGGAGCTGCCCACCTGACTTACCAGACGGAAGAGGGAAATGGTGTTCCCAGTAACACTGTAGTAGGCCAGAACCTCGGAGGCAGCGCTGATTCCAAATGACACATCTTGGAAATTTTTCACCACACTGTGGAATAGGGACACTGCTGGTACTTCTAAATCCTAAAAACGAGAAGAGAAAACCCCACAGGTTGTTTTTGGAGGAGAGAGACAGAGAAAAAGACTAGGGAGTAGAAATGTGTTCACTCATATCAGAAATCATAGTGTCCAGTGAGACAACATTGACCTCTAAAAATGCAGGCTAGATTTGCAGCGACATTGTTGAATTTTCCAGGCTGGGTAGGTTAATAGGTAACTATAATATTGTGGCTAAGCCTGGGACTCCTGTCTGGCTTTACTATAGAACTTGCAGTTTATTAGTAGCTGAGAGGGCTCTCAAAATCATAGAGACCTGCAGAGTTGGGCTGCACTGTCATTGACATACCAGAGGGGGCAAATGTTTGGGGAATAATTTGTGGAAGAAAAAAGAAATGCAAAAATCAGAAATAGGTGCTGTCAAAAGGGCCAAAAAAAAAAAAAAAAAGAGGAAATAATAAAAATAAGAGAAATTAAAGTGGAAGCTTAGAAGGTTTATTAACAAAGGCTTGTGTGGGATGTGGAGGAACAGTCCTCTTTCCACTGTGTGTAAAGCCATCAAGATACTGTTCATGGGTTGGTCCAATCCTAGAACCCAGGCCTGCAGGACAGAGCAGGGAAGCCTACTCTGAGTGGTGATTCCAGTCCTTCTATAGCAAGCTGGCATTATTTCCCTGCTGTCATGGGACCTTTGTCGTCAGCAGCTCCAGGCAATAAACTAGAGTGAACGTATTTGTCCCTGAGATCTCTCTAGCTAGAGAAGGAGACGTGCTGAGAGAAAAGATCATGGTTAGCCTTGCATCTGGGCTCAAGCAGAGGGAGTTGGCACCTTGCTCATCCAAAAGGGTGTGTGGAGTTCATTCGGGGTTATGAACAATTGTTCATCAAGGCTTCCTCTTTTTTTATTCTGCTCCTTAGAATGGAATTGCTCGTGAATCAAACAACGACACCCCGTGGTCATTTAAGTTATTGCACCCAGCTCCACTTCCTTGGCACTCCTGCCTGTCTGAGGGTGGCTGTTTTTGTCTACAGTTCAGATCTCTCATCACTGAAAAATTTGCTCCACGGTCTTCCTACCCGACTTACATCTCACCAAGGCTATTTCCAGCTGTGTACACAGAATAGACAGGGCGAAGTTGAGTTGGAATTAATGAATGGAAACAAGACAAGAAGGTCTGCCAGGAGAGAGCAGGGCCTTGATCAGCTGTGAGAATCTCCAGATGTTACCTCCAGACAAATAGAAAAATGCTGGAATGATGCCTTTTCCTTTATGGCTGCCTTTCTTAGCCAGGAAGCCAATCTGGAAGGTGGAGGCTAACACCTTCAATATACAAAATGCCATCCTTATTCAACATTTCAGAGCAAATAAAGAGAAAGAAGCATAGGGCACTGCTTATTTGGTAAGAGGCTCTACACTGGAGGCAACTATTGACAAATGCGTTGCCTGGATGATAGAAGTTGGGTTACTCTGGCCCCTGCCTCAGAAATTCAGATACTGTCCGAAGCTTCAAAGCATCCACAGATGGGGAGACCCAGTCGGCAGTCTCAGAACTCTTGAAGCAAGTATGAGGAAGACATAATTCAGAGACTGGGAATGGCTAGAAATCGAGAGATCTTGATGGACAAGCTAAAAGCAGACTCTGTACCCTTTGGCTGCTAAGGCAGTGTCATCTGGCCAGCAGGTGACTCACGTGGCTCCCTTGAGGTAGAATATTTCTGGTTCTTTGGAGGAACGACAGCGGTGGGGGGGGCGGCGGTATCTGGACGAACCTGGAAGAAGCCTATGACAGTCACCTCAGCAGCAGCGACGAATTCCATGGCAGCCTGGACATCTGTGAGCCACACGGGTTCCCGGGCACCGGGACCATCTAGGCAGAGACAGAGGAGGGTAAGGGGAGAGTGAGAGAGAGACAGAAGGTTTGGGCATACTGAGTAGAGAAGAACCAGCTCTAAATCATAAGAGCATCTCGACTTTTTCTCTTCATACGAAGGCCAATGAGATTTAGGAGTGCAGTTATCATTCCAAGGCTTTATTTATTTACTTTTTTACTAACATGGGGAGGGGGGTTGCCACAAGGTAGGCTATTTCTGAAGGAGAATGCCAGACGAGGCAAGGCAGATCTTTGTCTAGCATCTCCTGGGGAGTTTCCTAGGTTTGGAGGACAAATACCCAGAGCCCTATCATGTTCCCTTCCCTTCTTCCAACAGCACTCTCACCCCCATGGTGCTCTTTTCTTTTACCTGAGGATTCCTGAACTTCTGCAGCAACTTCCGGGGATAGTTTGCACATGAAGAGACATAACAGATACAGGCATCTGAACGGCATGGCCCCCATTTTCCTGCTGCTTCTCCAAGCCCCGGCCGTGGTGTCTGCGGCTGCCGATCCAGGGCAGCCCACTCTTCAGCTGACTGTGGTGTTATTCAGGCTCTGGGAACTTTGCAGCTGGCTCTGGGATGGGGGACCTTCAACTTCTGAGATAAGAGATGGAGTTCAGTGACAGGGCCTCAGAACAAAAGCAGCTAGAAGAAAGTCAGGTCAGTTCATTTAAATAAAATATTCTATGCCGGGTATTGACCTATGCACTAGAGATACAATGATAACTGTGACCTGATCACCTCTCCCAGCCTAGATTGTTTATGTGAAAAATGGGCAAATGAACAGATCGTTTAAATATAAAATGGAAAGTGATTATAAAATTGGGAAACTCACAGGGTGCTAGGAGAGGATGAACTAAAGACATTTTAAACACTGGTGGTGTCCAGTGAAGGCTTTCTCCCTGCTGGGGATGCCTAAACAGAGTCCTGGGTAAATAAAATTTTACAAAGCAATGAAGGTGGAAAGGGAGTTTCATGTAAAGAGCCAAAGCAGAGATGTAAATGTGGTGTGAGAGAGAATTATTAGTAATTTATTATTACCAGAAATGGGAATGATAAATCCAGGCAGAAAGGCATGCTGGGACCAGATCACAGGGGGCTTTATATTGTAAGTGTAGGAGCTTGTCTTATTTCGTACGTGATGGGAAGCCACTGAAAGATCTTAAGCAGGAGAGAAACAGTGCCTGATGTGGTCCAGGTACCTGTGGAAATTCGAGAGATTCTCGCAGGCAGAGGGATATATAAGTCTCAAGCTTAGTAGAAACTCTATATGATAATACTATAAAATAAAATAAATTGAGATTTCCTACCATTCCCATCCTGAAAGCTCATTGCCCATCGCACTGGAACAGGGGAACGAAACTGTTCCCAATGATGTGACACCACGTGTACTGTGCTCTGCCCCAGTTCCGTTGAGGAAACTCATGAATGGGAACCATCCGGTTACCATATTTATTTGAAGGAAGAAAGCAAAGAAATGAGGGTCTCAATTTGATCATACAACTGTTTTATTCTTGTACTTTTGTGCTGTTTACAGTGTCTCCCAGTAAAAAAGAACCCCAGTTGGCAGGGAATGTGATTAGGGACCTTCAGTGAATCAGCAGCAACCACAGGAGAATCCAGGGATGGGAAGGAGATACAGAGACCCAAGGCAAGAGGACTGTTAGTGCTAGTTTGCCCATTTCCTGGCCTCTAGTTGCTTGAATGGGAATAAAAGAGGGAATATTAAATGATTGTCTACTGGGATGGGGAACTGGGGAGATCTGCCTATGAGGGGATCAGAAGCGTGGGGGCAGGATTAAAGCCTGGGTTTTAAGCATCTTGTTCGGGGGACCACTGTGAGAGACAGTGTGGGAGAGAAGGCAGCGATAAGAGAAGGTGGAGGTTGCTGGGGACGGGGCTCAGCTGTGATCAGGGAGGAGGGACGGGGCTCTTCTGGGCGGCAAATGTAGGGACAGGGATGGGCAGAGGC